CCTTCACTAGGGCAACAACTATTGTAGTGAAATTATCATCTACCAATATCATGTTAGAAGCTTCCTTTGCAACCTGCAAAATATAACAAACATTTATGATGGCACTCAAGAACATAGCCATATAAATGGAGTAAAAAAAATGATAAACCGTTTCATAAGGGGCATAAAATCCAAGAATGGTAATTCATAATAAACATAGACCATAAAAATACCAATAAAAATCTAAATAACCAATAGCAAATGCATAAGAATATCATCACTTGACAACCAATGAAAAAAGTACCTTGACTCCAATTATACCCATTGTGAGTTCAATATCATCCAGTTCAAAAGGAGAGAATCATTGACTCAATGCAACAGTAACCATTTCCCCATTGCTTGTGAAGTGACAACCAAAACATCCCTTTTGTGAGTCCCATTGGTTTATGGTATTGGTGGCTAATTCTTTTGGATGGAAAAGCGAGAAACCTCAAAAATAGAAGCAATATTAGAAATGAAAAATTAGACTATTCGACCATTCAATAGGAAACCATCCTCCATCATCATTCTTGCCCCCTTACATAGAGACAGAAATCAATACGTGTATCATGCATAATGTACAAGAATATATAATTATACATTGGTTTTAGAATTGGTCGGGTTTGGGTTGGACCAACCCAAGTTGCACCTCTACTTCAAGCTTGTTCCAATTTTAATCACAAGTTTATTTTGTCTTATCTTTAACATTATTTTTAGCTGCAAAGAGACGTTGATACATTAAGAAGGTCAACTAATACATCAGGTGGGCCACTAGCCACAACCGTTCATGGTTAGTACTCAGTACCACGGAAGCATTGAAGATAGCCAAAGCTTAACAGGTATCCAAAGCATGGAAGAGATAGCCTTTGTAGGAACTATGCTCGCATGCAGAAATTTCTTATCTTTCACTTGTGCAATACTCTATTGTATTGTATTCTATTGGTCCTTATTGTGTGTTTATTTCGTTCATCTTTTTCCTTGGTTGATATTTAAACATTTTTCTCCCCACTAACACGACTATTTTCTTCTCGGTTGGCCGAAGAGATTCCACATATATTTCACTATTTGTTAGTCATTTCCATCATTAACACAAACGATTTTTATTTGTTATATCCTTTTGATGGTGCATGATATGGAACTTCTAGTTAGATGACAACTTACAACTTACACATTGGTTAACTCGGTGTGGTCACTCAGATGCTTAAGTCAATGGCTACTTGTGTAAGCGAGCTAATACTTGAATGCAAGAGAGCTAGTAATCACAAATTGCACATACCTTGTGTCACTGAGGTAGATGCCCTTATATAGGCGTTGTTTGGTATGGGCTTCACGGATTATGTCTGAGGTCTTCGAGAAAACGTGCCTAACCGGCCCAATGTCCTCGGAGGTAGCCATGCACGTTGACCAATCTTCGTACCTTGTTCAATTTACTCCAGAACATTCGGTACGGGGGGCAACTTCCAAGAAACCCGGGAGTGTCGGGATATGCATGCCAAATTGGTCGGTGAGCACGTCTCGCATGTCACCACCTGGACTTCAATCAGGTCGGCAAGCCCTCAAGGGAGGTCGCTCCACATCGAGGTCACTTCGACTATACTAACGAGATGCCACAGGTCGGCCCCTGGATGAGGTGCGACAAGCCACTCAGAGTTGGTTGTCATCTAGGTTTTCGCTAGGTCGACGGTGGTGGTAGGTCGCCATGTCGGACTCTATCTCTTTGGCTAAGGCAAGTCATCGCCTAGGTAGTGTCGAGGTGTCATCCAACTGTTCTGAGATGCCATGTGTCATGATGTCACTAGAGGGCCAAATCCGCCCTCATCAGTTGCTCCCCACTCTTAAGTTGAGATAAGTTCGGCGAAGGGAGTAGCTTGTTTCTTTGGCTCGGAGTGCCTAATTTGATGAGCTCGTAGCCATTGGTCCAGTTTGCTCTCTTGGTTGGAAGAGTCGAAGTGTTGAATGCAGCCTTACGTAGGACCTCGCCATCTTGATCATCGGAGCACGAGAGAGAATTCATCCGTTCGAGGAGAGGTGGAGCAAGTACCTCGAGGAAATCTACCCATGGTTCAAACGATACGCCCACATCGTATCGTATCTTTTTAAAATGATATGGTCTGAAACGCCTGTTTCTAGGTGTTTGAGACCCCCAATTTTTTTAATAATAAAAAATAGCATATAAGCTTCCCAAAAAACCAAAATTTGAAAAAAAAATAACAAAAATAAGTGTTTCGGCCATTTCTAAGTACCAATATGATATGGCCGAAACGCGTATCATATCGATACTTTAAACCTTGCATCTACCTCATTTGGGATGCAACCATCAAGGAGTTCTGCAATCTGGCCAAGTACCTCAAGAGCGAAGCTCATCATGCCATCCTCAAGAGGGGGTTCTAACTACGTGACTGCCTCATTAGGTCACTCCACCCGGGTAGACTACAACACAATGTCCATCGAGCTGGTTCTCGAAAGAGTAGCTAGCAAGGTCGATGTGGAGCCTAAAACCAAGGTGGAGGTCAGCTGTGAAGAGATTGGCCAAGTTTGCATCTGCCACGGTGCTGAAAGTGAACTAGTCATTCCTTCGTTTCTTTTTCTCTCCCTTTCTATTTTCTCCTCTCTTTTTTTTTTTCAGGTCGGCGGTTAGATGTTGACGTCCTTTGAGGTTGACTAAGTGTAGCAACTGCAACTATGGCATTATCGAGCTAGATAGATAGGGGGGCCGACCTATTGAGGTCGGTCTTCATGTTGCCGATGTGCTTCGAGGTCGGCTTGAGGGGGGTGTTCGTTAAAAAGCGGTATAGCTTTCCCTTAAAACTTGATTTGATTAGGTTGCCGAAGCAGATAATCGTTCTGTAGTAGCTTTAAATGTGGTTGCTTCTATGTCGTCACTTGATATTGGCTTTCCCATGTAGGTACTTGCGAGATCATGGCGTACATGTACCACCTACTCCTGGAACCGCTAGCTGCCCACTCCTACTGGAGTCATGGAAGGCTCACCTTGAGGGGTCGGCTCTATTGTGGGTCGCCTACTCTCACAGGAACCACGAAGGGCTCGACCTATAAGGCCGATTCCACATTCAGTTCCTTCTAACTCTCAGGGGAGCTATGAAGAGCTTGATTCGTAGTGAGGCTTCATGGTTTGGGCCACAGATCGCTAGCGCTCGCTCGGGCTGGTTGTTCTTTTCTGTTGTGCTTGTGAGCTTCATTGATACGTACATTACTCTTGACGTTGGATGATAGGGTAGCGTCACGGCTGCACTGCATCAACCCTCGGAGACGCTAGTCGTCTAACTGATGAGGGCGGATTTGGCCCTCCAATGACATCATGACACATGGCATCTCAGAACAGTTGGATGATACCTCGACACCACCTAAGCGATGACTTGCCTTAGCCAAAGAGATGGAGTTTGACCTGGCGACCTGGCGAAAACCTATCTGACGACCTCGTCCACAACTCTAAGCGGCTTGTAGCATCTCATCCAGGGGCCGACCTGTGGTACCTCGTTAGTACAGTCAAAGTGACATCGATGTGGAGTGACCTCCCTTGAGGGCTTGCCGACCTAATTGAGGTCCAGGTGGCGACCTGTGAGACGTGCTCATCAACCAATTTGGCATGCATATCCCAATACTCTCGGGTTTTTCAAAAGTTGGCTCCCGTATCGAATGTTCTAAAGGAAACCGAACAAGACGTAAAGATTGGTCTACGTGCACGACTACCTCCGAGGACATCGGGCCGGTTAGGCACGTCTTCCTGGAGACCTCGAACACGATGCATGAAGCCCGCACCAAATAATGCCTATATAAGGGCATCTACCTCAATGACACAAGATACGCATGATTTGTGCTGACTAGCTCTCTTGCATTCAAGTATTAGCTCGCTTACACCATTGATTTAAGTATCGGAGTGACCACGTCGAATTAACCACCCTGGGTTCTCTGTGCCAGATCGTGCACCATCACCTTTGTTTGATGTAACAAGTAAATAACATTAGAGAAAAAGTTGATTTTTTTCCTCCAATTTTCTACCGTTTTCATTTGTTCAGACCGAGAAATAAATTACAACATTGGAAAGAAATTGATTTGTATAAGGGTAAACTTGAATTAACATTGAGGCCTCGTTCATTTACCACTAAGTTGGGGTGGGAAAGTTGGTCAACTTTCCCATGTTCTTTTGCAAATACATGTGGGGCCCACAAAAAATAAAAGTTCCCCCAAATAAATTAAAAGCCATTTATCTAAGAAAATTTTACCCACCTTAAAAGTGGGTAAGTTAAGTTTCCCATCGTGGGGGATTTTGTTCAATTGCAAAAACCCCTGTATTAACAAGCTTTTAGGGCAAATATTAGCTTCCTTTTTTGTTTTAAATAGCAAGTTCTACTTGTTGATTTGATAGGATGAACCTCTAGTTTGCTTTTAATTCAAATATTTCTATGATTAGTGGTATTAAGAAAATATTCAAAAAGGATAATGTTGACAATAGTGATTAATTTGTGATTGATTGGGTTCCTTTTGATATGACATAGACCTATTACTCATGTTTATAAAATAAAACCTCCAAAAAAATTCATTTAGGCCAAAAAGATAATGTTGATAATAATATAATATATGGGCCTCTTACTCAAGAAAGTTGGTGAGACGGAAGAACATGGATAAAGAACATAGATAAATAAACTTACCTGATAAATTTTACCTAAGAAACACTTACCTGATTCAGTAAAATGGCCATAAACGAACGAGGCCTAAGTAACTTACTGTTCTAAACACCAAATGGTAAACTATGAAGGTCCACGGGATGATTCAAGTAGGCAGTTCACAAATGGTCAAAACCAACAAGAATCCAGAGTCAGGTGGGCCTTCAGGTATACCACCGGTTCAACCATCCGGATCAATGATGGCTTAAAGTTGAAATAAAATACAAAAGGAATAGGACAGGTTGCTGAATAAAGTTAATACTTAATAGTAGAAAAGAAGACAATTACTCTATTCAATTGGGGAAAAAGGCGAAGCTCTTCCATTTTGATTTTTGACTTAAGAAAAAACAAGGAAAATTTGAGAAGTTCTTTAATGATCAAAGGTTGGTATAATCCCAAATAGTGTCTAACAAAAGAAAGTCTAAACATTTTGCTTATAAAAAGCAATCCCAACACATTAACTAAACCAAAAAAGGTTCCCGTCATATTGAATCAATTGATATTTTCTATGGTTCTCACTGTAATTTATTGTTTTTCAGGGACTGCATAAATTCCTAAGGTCCTCCTCCTTGGCAAACCAGTTTGGGATTAACCTTGACGCATATGGATAAAGGTCCTTGTAAGAATTCCTGATTGTGCCTTCCGCAACTCCAGTAGCAAGGGAAATATCTGCACCCAAAATAAAATAATTGATTTAATGACCATGCAAAGTTATGCATTACTCGTGAATTTAAGACAACAGTAACACCAGTTTCATACCTCTAAGAAGCTTCTTGTCGTCTGATAGCTGAGTAATCATATAAATAACAGCAGCTGCTACTGAAATGGGGCTCCTCCTAAAACCGGAAATTTTTTTGGGTCGATTTAGTGTCCATTCAAACTTCTGTATTTAAAAATAGACTTTCTACATTTCTTCAATCTCTCCAATTCTATTAATTACCCAAAAAGAAAATCTCTCCTATTCTAATGCCACACGAAGAAAAATTAGTTTGGTCACAGTGCTGGTGGGCCTGGTGGCTTTACATAACAAAAATCGAATCCAACAAGGCAAAAGCCCGAATGTTAGTGGGATGTCAGTAAGTTTAAAGAATCCAGGAAGCTCTGAAGTTAGAGAGGGTTATTTATATGTATTACATGTTTTCTTGAGGTTTACAAATTGTGACACAACCACAACGACACCCGTGCAAACTGCAAAGAGATAAGTTGGTAACCTCTAGAATTGAAATTGCTCCATAAAGGTAACGAGTAAGGCCCATGGGACGTTTAAATGGGTGATCCAACTCCTATTATTGGTTGTTTTGGTAGGGTGGCTAACCAGCTATGATTTACATATAGTTTCCCGGGCACAGCAAACCTATCAAGTGGATAACCATGCCTACTTTACTAATCTATCTAAAGGAGTGTGTGGAGACAAGGCTCTGGGTCTCTCACCACAGGCCTCATGCTGAGTCTTCCCTTTTCTGATTTCACGCATGTGAAATATTAAAAATCCTTTTGTCTCCATAATTTTTTCTACTAAAATATATCATTACTCTTCTATAATAAAATTGTTCTTAATCCCCCCCCAAATCCCTTATTAAATGCCTTTTAGACTCTTTTGACCCTCCCTAATAAAGCATGGATATAAATTAGATGGGTTGGGGGCCAACCATAGACCAGCTTGAACATGAACCTTAGTTTGGAATGACAACATCAGCACAAAAACAAAAACATGTTCTTGAACTCTGTTTTTGTTCCCAAAGGGAAAAACAAGTTTGTTTTATTTCAAAAAACAATGCATCTTTTTGGAACCAACAAAATATTTTTTTTAAAACAAAAACAAATTTTCTAGTATAGAAATTATATGATTTATGGAATATGATGTTGAATAATCAAATGAAAACTGGGGTTCCCATAGTTACAGCAGTGGCATGGTGGGAGTGGTTGGAAGAACATTTTCTTTTTTTTTTCTTATTTTTTGATCAGCTAGGAAATTGGATCAAATTAAAATGATAATCTGGATACTACAATGACAGGGTGTATTCACCCATTAAGATTCATTCCATTCCCAGCACAAATACAAGATTTACAATGGTGTCCTAAACAGTATGAACATTTTCTTATTCAAGTGGTAGTCCAGTTATACACCTTACACCTCTCCTGGAGTTTGGTGTAAGGGGCTTTCCTCAATAGGATAAAGTACTTGCCCCTATCCTGGGGTTTTGGTCAAATACAAGTGGATATTCCCTCGAGGCAAGCCCCTTGAAATGTGTCTCGCCTAGGTGTGCCAGAGGCATGCATTTTAAATCACTGGCTCCCATATATACAGTAGTGACATGGTGAGATTATCAGAAATAGTTGTAAAAACATTTACTTATACTAGTAGTCCAGTTTATACACCTGAATAAACCAATCACTTATATTTAGTTCTGAAGTAGAGGGAGCATTAGCACCTCATTACAGATGCAAGATTTTTGGCCAACAGTACTGACATCATTTTCATGGGACCAAATATCCCCCGACACCTTAGGAGATGGCCTTGACAAGGATAAGGTATCATCAAAATACCACCCGGTCAGTTGTATAGATAACTTCTAATACATAATGGCTTAACCAGTTCAAGGATGTTCTTCTGGCAAGTTTCACTACTATTTGTCTAAAGTCCTTCCTCATCCAAGTGAGGAAATATTTTTTACCTCCTCACACATTAAACTCCTTGACCTTGTTATGGTTAAAAAATTAACTAGGGTTAACCATAGGTAATCCCTAAGCTTGTCTATGCTACTTGACAAGAATCCTCTTTCCATACCTTCAGCACCTTTCCCACAATATGTGGCCTATATAAATAATTGTAACCTCTGCCATCATTAGGGGTTATAAATTTAACAATGCTCCATTCACTAATAAATTTGGACCTCCGGGTACAATGTAACAGAAGAGGGAAACATGAATCACCTGATGTCTAGCTCTTCCGATTTCTGGACTGCTTCTTGGGCAGCTTTGACTGCTTGATTTGTCATGCCAAGATGAGAACAAAAACGTCTCTGCAGATTAAGTTTGATTATGTCAATTGGTGTTGGACAAACTTAACAATTCCAACAACACAATGCTTCAAAACGGTAAAGCAATGCTTAGAATGTCACTGATCAACAGAAAATAAAAACAAAAAAGAACTTAAATGACCAACTCACCAAAAAGTCCCCAGCATGTATAGTTCCCATCTCCATTGATTGACCCATCTCGACCTCAAGTTGTTTCACAATGTACTCTTTTGCCCGGCCAATTTCCTTCTTTGTAGCTCCATTGGCAACCGAGCAAATTTCTAGTTGAAATCCACAGGTTCAGGAAGTTGAAACACATTGAGAAAGATAAATCAGGAAGCATCCAGATGTAAAGGAAGCTTAGGCTGTACCCTTTACTGTGCGGGGCTTGTCTTCTTGTCGACAAGCAATGTACAGGCAGGCAGCCAAAATTGCATCCTGATTTCTTCCCCTAATAGACTTTTGATCTTCCACCTTCTTATATATCTCATTGGCCCGATCCTTCAAATCAATATAAAAAGAAAATATTATTCTGGATACAGACATCAAAAAAGAGAAAAAAAAATCAAACTAGAAAAAATAACCATAGGAAACTCTGACTTGAATGTCTGTACATATACACAAATACATGTGTATTTATTTAACAAATCTAATGTATGCTATACTCAAAACAAGAACAAAAAGCACATGAGTTTGGTAGTTGAGTTGCCCAGGGGCCAAACCTAATAAAGTGGAATCAAACACTTGAACATGTACTAGTGTGTATGTACATGTGAGCGTGAGTTAGATATGGACTATGCCAATTTACAGGTCAAAACAACACCAAGAGGTATCACATCAGGATTATTACCCAACATATTACATAAAGGCATCCCTTAAAACTTCAAGGGAAAAGAGCAAGATTCAATCCTGTCAATCAAAGAATACAAAGAAGAAAATGATGGCCAAAACTACTACTTTGTTCCTTGATGATCTATTATTCAAAAGTTATACATAATCTTTTTTTTTATAAATAGTTTACATAATCTTTTCCAATTACATGAATGACAAAGCCGAGACTTCCAAGGTTCATAACAAAAATCCCATCAGAAACATGCATGTTTTTCATTCATCTAAAACAAAACATGCATGTTTCTGATTCAGTTGGACTTAGAGTCTAGGACAACTATGACTATAAGGTATTTGCAAATTTGTGAATTATAAAATTGACCAAAAAATTAGTTATTGATAAAGAACGGATTGAATTATGTATTCCTTGCATTTGTTTATTTAAACTTTTTAATCTACTCCACACCCCGAATTATGCTTTCTTATGTTATGTAGATGTCACACACATAGTCAAATTGATGCTTGGCTCATTGGATGTTATGAAAAATCACAGTAATTATCTATTTAACAATAAATTGAAATCGGATTTGTCCATCATTGGAGAGTAAAGCCCATGGTGTATCTTGGCCATTCATATTGGCAGATTTTTCTGATCAACCTTTTTTTTTGGTCAAAACTCAAAAGAGAACCTGTTCATCAACGGATTTACTTCTGCAACTTTTGAGATTCTGGAGTTTGAGGTCCCATTTCTCTGATCTCATGAAAGAAAGATGTGATGAGCATGTAGTTCTGTCTGTTATTAGAATTCCTTGCTTCATTCTATTTTTCTCCTTGCATACTTGAACATACAACTTAGAACCATTGTATTTAAATCAACAAAGCTAAAACCTATGTATTTCAGTCTGGCAAGTGGCAAGGCAAGTCAAACACCTAGGCAACAAAAAAAAAAACCTAATGGTTCGACTATGATGCCAGAAAGACATGATACTGGAAAGGCTTGTAACCAATCAACCATCATCGTAAGAGTGGTAACCAATCAACTCAGTTTTAATCAGAATTCACAGGGGGTTTTGATTGATCAAAGCCTTTACGGTATCACGTCTTTCAGGCATCATAGATTTTCCAAAAATTAACAAAAAAAACATATACTTCATAATGTATACAGCACAAGCTATAAATGATTTAAGTGCCTAATGGTACTGATCAGAATGGAATGGAAAAACAGGATTCATGTAGCAGACACCACTTAGGCAAGGTTTAGATGATGATGAAGATGATAACGACGATACTTTACAATGTATGCATATAGATATTAACAAGTCAACAACAACAATAGTACATAAACATTATTCGGAAGAGGCTTAGATTGGTCATTTCTAGATTTCGGGTCCATTTGGACTACGATCAGAATTGGAATCAAAATCAGAGCCCAAGTCCCCAAGAATCAGAAATGGAATTGCCTATTCCCCCGCCTGTTTGGTTCAGACAGGAATAGGAATCAAATTGCGTAAAATATGCATGACTCCCAAGGAGAGTTGGCATCAGTATGGATAAATAGGGTTTGAGGGGTTTTAAACCACTTGATCGGCTGGAATGAGGTTCTCATTCCCAAGGGGGGAAGCTGGAACAGGCATTTCCTCAAATGGGGGAATGCCATTCCACCAAGAATGGGAATCGAACTCCAATTCTGCCCAACCAAACGGGTGGAATTGGAATTGCCCATTGTGATTCCGATTCTAGTCCCCTATTCCTGCAAACCAAATGAAACCCTTAGTTCTACTTAATTGTGGCTTGGGGGAGAAGTGCATAAGATGGGGTTTACAATCTTGCCATTATTCAATCTTGGTGAATGGGGTGGCTAAAGACTTAAAGGGCTAAGAGGGATTTGATGCAAGGTGACGCACTACCACCATTTGTGTTTACACCCATTGATAAGCTAAGCAAACTACCCGATAGGGCTCATAGAATTTAATTAATTATTAGATGGAGAGTTGGAAGGGAAAAATTAGTTGTATCCCATTTACAATTTGCGAATGATGTAATAATCTTTTGTCAATATCTTGGGGAGCGGGTGAGAAATCTTAAGATAATAACGAGATGTTTTGAGATGATTTATTAATTTAAAGGTGAATCTAGGTAAAAAGTTGTATAGTAGAAATCAATTTGGAGAATGACATGGTGAGAAGATATACAGAGATATTGGGTTGCTCAACATCTGATTGGCCAACCAAATACTTTAGACCTTCCTTTAGGTTGCTTTTGTTTGTGATGTAAATCGGCATCAATATAAAACTCCACCGCTGGTTCGTTTTTGTCGGCGCTTGTTTGCAGTGTAAGTCAAGATTGATGTAAAACTCCACTTACAGTAAAGTTTTACATCGACAATCAATGTAAATACTAACATCGATTTTATCAATGTATTATTACATCGATTATCACATTTTTCAAAGAACAACGGTTCACAGATTTTAAACCATCAATAGACTCTTACGTCAATAGAGTTTTACACCACTTCCAAACACAGCCTTAGGGGGTAATCCCAGGTCAGCCAATTTCTAGAATCCTATTGTTGAAAAGTTTTCAAAGAGACTAGTGGTCGAGAAAAAGAATTACATCACCTTGAGGAGTAAAATCATGTTAATAAAATCAAACTTTGACAAACTTACCAATCTATCATTTGTCAATTTTTAGAATGCATGCACTTGATTAACTAGAGATGGATGTGCAAGAGCAACAGGGAAAGGGGTTTAGGTTTTTGTAGGTTGAGTAGAAATGCTTCTTTCCTTATGATTGTGGAGATTCCCCTAAAACATGAAAAAGTTGTGTTACAAAACCATCGAAAGAATCCATGATGGGGGCACTGGCTGGGATGTGAATCTGAACCCCAAAGCTACTCCTTGAAAAGCTATGTTGTCAATACTTCCTTCCTTTTGCCTTCTGTAAGAACTTATGTGCTTTCTACAAACAAAACCATATTTTGGAAGGATTTATGGTGGAAAATCACCCTTTAAATGATAAATTCCATGTCATTTTTCAATTTCTAAATTTAAAGATGCTTTGGTGTTTTTTGCCTCAACTTCTACAAATAGTTTGGTTTGGAACCTTGGTTTAAGGAGGGGCCTAAGGGATTGAGATTCAGATTTCAGAAACCTCAATTGTGCTTTCTTTGCTGAATTCAATAGATGGGGTTTTCTTGGATGTCTCAAAAGAAGACAATAGGGTGCAGAGACTCACTTCTTCTGGCTTGTTCTCTTGTGCCTCTTTATTTGAAGCCCTTCTTAGAAACACTAACCCTGTATCTGTTTGCCCAATTAATGCCTTTTGGAATGGTCTTGTTCCTCCAAAGGTTAGAGCCTTATGTTGGGAGATCTTCTATGGTTAAACAAATACTTGTGAAAATCTTTAGTGGAGGAGACCCTCTTGGTGGATTTTTTTCTCACTTGTGCCTTTGTCCAAAACAAATAGTGAAAATACTGCAATTTGAAAATTCTTCTTTTCTCTTTTTGGGCTCAAATGTAGTCCTCTTATTGATCTTAGAAACCTCTTTAGCTCCTCCTGATGAGGAGAACACTCTGAAGGATTTGGAGAGATGATGGTGGCCCAGACATTTAAAAGGAATGTGGTCCTCAAATTAGAAAGGATTTTTTTTTGTGAGTGAATTAAAAAGGATTATTGATAAGCCTAAAGTTTTAAATGAAAGAGATCAGTTGCCTAATGCTGTGAAAAGGTTTAAGAATAGGAAGTACCATCAAAATGTGCAAGTTTCAAAGGTTTTTTCCAAATTGAAGTTGGGTCTCCTTGGGGCCAGGGAAGAGTTGTCTTTTCTATTTAACAGCTTGCCAATGATTAGACTAACGTTGCCATCAACTAGGGGGTGGCCACGAGCTGAGCCTTTCACGAGCTATTTGAGCTTGGATCAGTTCAATTTAAACCGAGCTTCAAGCCAAATTTGAGCCCAATATATAGGCTCATTTGCTAATCGAGTCGAGCTCCAGCCCAGTGAAGCTCGACTCATGAGGCTTGCAAGCCTAGTATTAAATAAATAATTTTTATTATATATACATAAATATATATTATAATAAATATACATGCATACATAAATATATATAATAAGTAATTTTTATAATTCTTAATTTTTTGTCTAAAAAATAAAAACTAATTTTATAATATAATTTTTATTTTTTTATTTAAAAAAAAAAAACTTAGCTTATAGTCAAGCTCGAACTTGCAAGCTATGAACCAAGCAAAGCTCGAGCTCGAGTCTCTAGCTCGAATCAAGCTCGAGCTTGATACTATTCCTACAAGTCGAACTCAAATAGCCAAGTATTCGGCTTGGCTCGACTCAAACCCACCCCTACCGTCAACCACCGTGTCCTAGTTCGAGAATTTTAACCCGATTCCCTTTCGAAGCCCATGCTAATCGCACTGTCTAACGGGCTTCCCCCGTCTCTTAGGATCAACTAAGCCATGTGCAAGTGCCGTTCACATGGAACATTTCCCCTCTTCTACCTACAAAGTTCTCATTTGAATATTTGCTACTACCACAAAGATCTACACTGACGACCGCTCCACCCAGGCTCACGCCCTGGGTTTTACACTGACCGTCGTGCCCTCCTACTCATCAGGGCCTGGCAATCGCCCCAACGGCCAGATATGGGTAGCGCACTTCAGCGCCATCCATTTTCGGGGCTAGTTGATTCAGCAGGTGAGTTGTTACACACTCCTTAGCGGATTTCAACTTCCATGACCACCGTGTTGTTGCCTTAATCAACCAACACCCTTTGTGGGTTCTAGATTAGCGCGCAGTTGGGCACAGTAACCCGACTTTTGATTCATCCTGAATCGCTAGTTCTGCTTACCAAAAATGGCCCACTCGGAGCTCTTGATTTTGTGGCACGACTCAATAGAGCAACCGCACCGTCCTACCTATTTAAAGTTTAAGAATAGGTCGAGGGCGTTGTGCCCCCGATGCCTCTAATCATTGGCTTTACCCGATAGAACTCGCACCTAGTCTCCAGCTACTAGACGATTCGATTAATCTTTCGCCCCTATACCCAAGTCAATCCTGGTAAGAAGATAAAGATAACAAAGAAGCAAAGAGCTCATTCCCTTGCAAATGGAGAAATGAAGCAATGTTTTGTTTGTAGGGTGTCTGGGTTGGAGTTTGGGATTGGAGTTGTGTAGGGTTTGTAAAGGTGTGTAGTGGTTCTTTCTTGGGTTAGGTGTACAAGGGGGTTTTAATGTTGTTAGAGTTTCTTTAGGACAGTCAAATCTATTTTGGGATAAGAATTGCAAGATGTGGGCTTATGGGTTGGTCTTAGTTGGAGTCTAAAGAATGATTAGTCTTGGTTTCATTTCTTTTATGTGGGTTGGTCATAATAAATTTTCTTTTTTATTTAAAAAATACATGTATACCTTTTTCACCTGCCCAGTTGATTGCCTAGCCAATAGGCCTCTGAAACATCTAGTTATCTAGTCAATGCCTAGATTACAGAAAAATATTTTAACCATGCTATACTTGGCACTAACACCTAAAGAAAAATATCTTGGATCTTGGAAACACAAGATCCAAACGGCCCCATAGGCTTTATCGTTGCTCAAAATATATGCTTGAACTTCCTAACACACTACTTCTGGTGCAGGTTTGGATCTTAACCTTCTGAATATCCAACATGACCAACACACTAACTGTTATATGGACCCCAAACCCAAGCTATGGGTTTTGTAGCCCTAGACCCAAAGCAGTCCCCATAATAATGTGGAACATGACTTATCAAAAAAATAAATAAATAAAGGGGAGCATGATAAAATGGTTCCCCTGCTTTTATCTACCGCATTTTCATCATAAAATGTGCTTGAACACAAAAGCATAATAGGTATAAGCTTCTTGTATAAAGCACAATGGAGGCATAAACCTCCTAAGTCTCTAGGCTGGAAGCTTATGCCTTTATGCTGGAGGTGTACACCTCAAGGCTGCTCTCGAAGCATTTCCTTAGCACCTCACCTTGAGGTATAAGCCTCCAGAGCTTTTAAAAACACTACTTGGATCCGATTTGGATCCTATCAGATTTTCAGACTTGATATGTGTCCATTTTCACCATATTAAAAAATAAAGTAAAAAACTGAAAATATAAGTAAATTAATCTCTCTTTGACTTTATGTGTATTTATAAAATAATAGATTTTATTAACTATTTAACTGTAAACTTTTACAACGTTTAATATACATATTATATAAAATTTAATTGGGCCCTGATCATAATTGGATCAAATAGCATTAGATATGCATCAAATCCTATTGTTAAATGAAACCTAATCTGTCTATATAAGCTAAACATCCAAATCCAAAACAATCAAGATTAGACCTTTTTTATGGATACCATGCTGGATGACATTAGTATTTTCCAGGATTGTTTGTTCAGAAAGACAAAGATAGATTTATTGGTGCCACACTAATATACAGATATCCAAAACAATAATGCAATAAAGATAACTCAATAGCATACCTTTATAGTTGCAACAAGACCCAACCTGAAAAAGAAATTATTCATGGCATCAGTTATATTTCTAAATGCTTCATTTAGAATACAAAATTAACCTCATTCATTTACAACCTAAAACAAAGAATTGAACTCAATGTTAGCAGGTGAAAATGTGAAGAATTTGAATGACATGAAAAATAAGACATTTCAAGTCTAAGGGCTTTGCAAATTTCAAATTTCAATTCCATATGAACAAAATCAGAATTAGGGAATAGGAACTTCACTGAAATATCACAAAATCAAAGGAGGGGCCTTTTCCCCAAAAATCAGTGTTTCCATTGCTATGCTTTAACTAGAATTCATAATTCTTCTCTAAGTTTTTAACTATTATCAATTACTGATGAATTGTTAATCTCTATCATTGCTCTCTCTGCCATCCTCATCTTATCACCCACCAGAGTGCACTTATGTAGCCCAAACAGGTGGTGAACCAAATCATCAAAAAATGATAACACCGTCAAGTCACCAAAAAATAATAAGTCAGTTATTGATGACTGAATAAAAATCAACAAAAGAGTAAAAAACTGAAATTTCAAAATGTCTCTACCCGAGGTAGTTATATGCATACAAGGCATGAGATTTTGTATAGAATAAGGGTGAGCAAGTGAAGAAGAAAAAGGCAATAAGGCATCACTATCTGATTCTGATATGTATACGTGATGTTAACCTTTGAAGGGGGAAGACAAATGGAGTAATAAAGAAAGCAAAAAAGGGGAAGTAGATGATGGAATAGGGTTGTGTTTTAAATGAAATTTTGACGAAGAAAAGCCCGTGTCTCTAGGCTGATACATATCAATGTCAACCTACAATTTCTGGCAACGTGGAGCACTCCGGGGGTGATAGCATGGGGTTGAAGGGGGATTGATATCAAGGATTATAATTCCTCACTGACACCTCTACTATTTCTTATTGATATTATGTCTATCTTCATTTATTTATCCAAAACATTGTTATCTCTAAAGATATTTTTTCAATATACCCTCCAAACTGAACCGAGCCCCAAAGTTGGCGCTTAGAGTAATAGATCACCACACCCTAAAACGCATGGAAAACTCTTTTTGCCAGTAGAAACTTCATTGAAGTACAGAAATGTTTTGTAAAGCAGTTATAATCAAACCATAAATACCATATACATAAAAACAAACAACAGACAAGGAATAGAAAACGAGGTTACTATGATCTGACGGAGAGGTTCCGAGATGCTGATTTGATTAGTAATTTTACGTTCAAGTTGCTTTCAACATTTCAATCCCAACCAAAACCCATAAACAATTTCGAAAAATTCGAGTTCAAAGTTCAAACATAATGAAATAACCCAACCTCCGAAATCAATAACTAACGACTCAAACTCTAGTCACATTCAATTGGAAAAGTGGGGAAAACGACGAGCAAAAAGATATGGGCAAAACCAAAACCGCAAGGAGAATAACAGATAAGCACGACATTCTCATTCAATTGAACTAGGGATTGATCGGAATTAAACAAGTACCTATCAGACATGGTCGCGATGGTCTTAAAAGCGAGTATAAGGGATCGATCGGGATTTGATCCGCGGTTCTGCCATCGTCCGAGAGAGGACGAGAGGAAGTCACCGGAGGCGCCGTTAGGTTTAGAGATTACGGTGGAGAGGCCGCCGTCGGTGAGGAGAGGGTTAGAAGGGCCGCCGACACGGACGGGATCGTTGTCGCCGGACTCGTTTGCGAAGGTTCTCCACTCGGATGTTTCATCAATGGAGTGAGCTTCAAGGACGAGGCCGCACTCGGAGCAGACGGTGTCGCCAGCCGAATGGTCGAAAACCACCTCGGTGTGCCGCTTGCAGTCAGAGCAGTAAGCGTCCGCCATTAATCACACCGACTCTTAATACGTGTATGTGGATATCGATCACTGAATTAGTTTTTTTGTTCTGGTTTTGGTTCGGTTCAAATGGTGAGAGAATATCTCAGAAGGATGAGTCGGTCTCGAGGGAAAAGGGCGAGAGGAGGAACGTTTCTCGAAGCTTGCTTCTTCTCTCCCCTCTACGCACAAAAAATGGAGGAAAAGGAAGGAGGCAGGTAACTTATAGGAGATTGTAAGGCGGTTTTTACTTTTTAGCCTTTTATGCGACGAACGCGACTTACGTGAATAGACCACTGGACCAGTCTAATCCTCTTCGTTTACTGACTATATTATCCAATCACAAAAAGCCACGTCATCGTACATATTGGACTCTTCGGAAGAAAAGTAACGTGGTGTTTTCTGACTGGTTGAGTATTGCGAATAGAAATATTGGCGATTTCTAACTCATGTAATGGGTGTGTTTGGTTTGAGGTGGGACCGTGGGAGTGAGCGTAGAATTATCAATTGGAGTGGTCCAATGTGAATACACTTACAAATAGACTATATCTAATTCAAATCCAATCCAATTCATTAAATAAATATCAAAAATTATATAAAAAATTTATAAAAATATATTAAAATAAAGAATGCTTAAAAGTACTTTCGTAAAAGTGCTTTCATAAAAGTATTTTTCGTACAAGTGCTTTTGTAAAAGTATTTTATAAAAGTACTTTCGTAGAAGTGTTTTTATAAAAGTGATTGTAAAAATACTTTTGCAAAAGTATTTTCGTAAAAGTGCTTTTATAAAAGTACTTTCGTAAAAGTGCTTTCGTAAAAATGTTTTTATAAAATTACATTCATAAGTGCTTTCATAAAATTGCTTTTATAAAGTACTTCTATAAAAGTGCTTTTGTAAAGTACTCTTATAAAAGTTTTTTTGTAAAAGTGATTTCATTAAAGTGCTTTCATGTCAAAGTACTTTTATAAAATTGCTTTCATAAAAGTACTTTTATTAAAGTGCTTTTATAAAATTGCTTCTGTAAAAATGCTTTCATAAAAGTACTTTTGTAAAAATATTTTTGTAAAAGTGTTTTCATAAAAGTGCTTTTATAAAAGTGCTTTTGTAAAAGTGTTTTCGTATTTTGGCCTCATGATCGAATTATTGGAAATTTGGTTTAGGTCCAATTCATACCAATAAGAATATGGACCTATTTATTTTGGATTGGTCCAATCCAATAATTATAATGGACYDTCCAAATCBGATTTGATAAGGTTTGGATCGGATTGGATCCAATCCAAAACCGGTCAATTGACACCCTGAGAGTGAGGGCTCAACAAATGGATAAGTGCTTTTGTGAAAGCTTTTCCGTAAAAGTACTTTCGTAAAAGTACTTTCATAAGTGATTTTATGCCACCTCAAATTTGATTGGTTTCAAATTGGACAAGGGTTTGGCCTCATGATCGAATTATTGGAAATTTGGTTTAGGTCCAATTCATACCAATAAGAATATGGACCTATTTATTTTGGATTGGTCCAATCCAATAATTGTAATGGACCGTCCAAATCCAATTTGATAAGGTTTGGATCGGATAGGATCCGACCCAAAACCGGTCGATTGACACCCTGAGAGTGAGGGCTCAACAAATGGATCAATTCTACCCCAAACCAATTGGAACCAACCATTAACCCGCCTTGATAAGGCCATTTTAGGGGTTCTCACAATTTGCTTAGTTGAAGCGGTAGTACCGGTTTTTTGAAAACCAATAACGAAAACCGAATTGAAGTCAATCGATTAATTAGTATTAATTTGAATAGTTGGTTTTTCAGTTTTTTTATTTGTATAAAATATATTATAAATAAATATATAAATATATAACAAAAAATTAGAAATACATATAAAATATTATATTATAAATAATAAATAATATGTTACATATTATAAATGTATATATTTGTATATATAATTCATATTAATTATTATTCATTTATAATATATAGATAATATAAAATATATGAAAAATATATAATATAAATAAATATTATATATATACCAACAGTTAGATTAACTGCCAGTTTTTTATATTGATTAATTGAAACTGAAACCGAACTGACCGATTCGATTAACTGAAATTTTTGGTTCTATCTCATTGATTTGGTTTTTCAGTTTTTCTTACTCACCCCTAGCTAGTTTTAATCGATTTTTGTGTAGGGTCTGATTTCAAATGCTTGCAACTAATGGTAAGATAATTGGACGAGCGTCGACTTGGAAAAGGAAATCGCATTACCATGGTTGTATAGAAATTCAATTAGTGAAAACGAGTATGGCTGCAAATGCATTGGATTTGATAAGTAATGAAAGCAATCCAAATCCATTTCATGTTTTCAAGATTATGATTTGATTTTAAATTCGAATTACTTATTAGATATTTGATTTGAATCCAATTCGATTTGAATTATAATAAAAAAATGATGATATTTAATATAATATATTATAATATATAATATATAATTAGATAAATAATATAATATATAATATAATACTTCATAACTAACGGATTGTATTGGGGTATATTCGAATTTGATCTGTTAACTAATTAAATATGATTAACAGAGGTATCCAAATCCCCTTTTAACAGTTTGAATTCAAAGTCAAATCGGATCTGATTTGATTTATTTACAGCCATAACAACGAACATGCCACTGTTCAAAATAAACTCAACACATCACATCAGTTGCATTTTTATTTAAACAATGGCATTTTGCATTTGATTAGAGGGCCATTGATTTGTTCTACCACAACCATTGCAGGTATTGTTTTCTCCCAAAAAAAGGGAGAGGTTCATGGGTCAAAGATTAAACCCGATCGAATTAAAATATATACATGTATATCTATATATATATATATATATATATATATAATATACATATATTGAAAATGTATAATTGTATTCTGTTGTAATATATTTTTATTTAGTTTCAATTTATTTATATTAAAAAATAAGATTTAAGGCTAAAAAAGGCCTTCTTTTTTTTTTTTTGCAAAAATAAAATCCTCTAGATCCACCATTGAAACTATCTGATCCTAATCTAATGTCCTTGACCAATCTCCAACCATACTCTTACCATCAAATCAAATCCGACCATGAGACTTAAAAACTTAAAATACTTGTTCAAATCAAGATCTCACCCTCCATCCACTAAGGATTCTGTTTCAATAATTTCAATTATCCAATGCGCTAAAAGCAGTAAATTGCTCAACCACATCTCACCAATCACATTAAACCCTACATTTAAGCCAAAAAGCACATGCTTAGCCAACTTACCAAATTTCATGACAAAACTATTTCGTTTGATCCATAAACAATATGAGATTCTATTACGATACCATACATTGACCGACCCAATGTGACAATCATCAAATTTCCCATTCTACCCATCTGGTAAGAAGACTATTATATTCCTTTAAACGCCAAACACCTTCCAACACCTATCCATAAAATTTCATTATTGATCTCCACCATTTAACATTCCATCAAACTTACATTCCATTCTAAGCTTTCTCACTGGCCTAAACCTTCAAGCCCCAAATCTACCCTCCAGGATTGGACCTATCAAACACCACCAATAAAGTACTCCACACATCATCAAACCAAAATCTCACTATGGGTTTTCTCACTAGCTGGAGCATCCACTCTTTAAATCCCTTTGATCAAGGCACAGTTCAGCCAATCAGACTCTTCAATTGCCCACCACATTCAATTTCACTCAACAAAGCACCTTTAGTTACCATCTAATCAGAAAAGATTATGTTTTGTATAATCCCATTGGCCCATTCCTTTGAGACCACATTGAACCCTCAAACCCCATTTCCACCATCATAAAAATTCACCTCAAAATCTTTAACCCTTTGGAATCTCATTTGATCATTGCCTTGTAAAATTACCAAATAATTTCAAAATAATCCCCAAAATAACCACAAACCCTACTATTGAAACTCCTCAAAGTTTTATATTTTAGGGGATTTTTTCAAAAAAAAAAAAAACTTCTCGCATTCTCTCTCTCTCTCTCTCTCTCTCTTCCCCTTCCTTTTCTTCTTTTCTCCTTCCTTTTCCTTCATCCACCCCCTATTTTTCTGTATCCATCAAAATCAATGACTAAACTTGCCATTCCCTCCATTAATCCCTCACTCTTATCTTCTTTGTTACTTTTTTATACCCTTCTTCTTCTTCTTCTTCCTTTTTTCTTCTTATCCCTCCTTCCTTGCTCTTTTTCCCCATTCACCAGGCAATTCTTTGTTTCAGCTTCCCTCTTGTAGCCAAACAAGAACCTAAGATTGCAGTGGTCTTTGGTATCTATCACCTGTATTAGCCACAAGATTGCTCTTAGTCTTCATTGTGCTCACTAAGAGCAACTTAACATCCCACTAGCTTTAGCATATTTTCGACTCGACCTTATCGAACTGAATAGCTCATTCGAGTCATTCATTAATGTTAAGTGTTTGTTCACAACTCCATATCAAGTTTCACCTCTCAGCTTATATAAACAGTTTGGACCTTCTTACTCTTGGCTTGAATTGCAATTATGAAGCATCAAGATGGAGGTTCTAGAACTATCAATCCTCTATGTGGTGTCTTACATAATCAAAACACCCTGGTAGTATGTACAAGTTGATGTTGTATTCTAGTATGTATTCTTATATAGTTCTATAGTATGTACATCATGGAGCTACCTACTAATAGTTGCAACTGGGTGCCCTATCTCATGTGTTGCATAGGATTATAGTAACGGAGAGGGGTAGGGTCGGGTTTTACATATCTTGCCCCAACCCCGAACACATGTACCCCATCTCGTACCACTTTATACCCAACAAGGATGGAAATGCCATCCCCATTCCTGCCCCCACGGCAAATGGGGATCCCTAAATTTTCCTTGACCCTCCTCGACCATTGCTAACTATAGTAAGTATGTAAAGATGTAAAATATTGAAACTTTTTTTGATATATGAAAATGATTGAAACTATATATGTGTGAATAATTAAAAAATATATGAACTAATATGTTAGTGATAAATGGGTAAAGACGTAAAGGATTGAAACTTTTGATCGGTTATAGTCATAGTGAATCTATTGCCAATATAGATCTTTGTGGCTCAACACCTGACTCTACTTTCAAGGATATAGACCTTACTACATGCACAAATTCCCTATTATGCAACTCAACTAAGTCA